AGGTTGCAGGCCCGTGCCTAGATAGCTGTCCAGAGACTGCTTGTGTTAGCGTCTCTTTAGGCACGTCCCTCACAGGTGTGGCAGAAGAATTAAAGGAGAGGATGCCAGCCTGGGCCAAAATGAAGAAGGAGAGTAAAGGACAGCTGATTTTGGTAGATGTAGAGGTGTTTAGGAGTAGGGTAGGGGCCCTTATAGATTCAGGAGTTACCCGTAGTTACATTAGCCGTAGGGCGCTGAAGAAGCTGAGGCTAGGACTAAAGGTCCAAAAGCTAGTMGACCCCATAGTCAGTGTCCKCGCAGACAACCGCACGATGCGCGTTGAGGACTACGTAGAGGGAGTCCAGGCGTACTTTCGCCTAGAGAAGSATGGGAAGGTGGAGAAAGTTCTCCATTCCCTAACTCTCCTCGTGCAAGATGACCTTCCTTTCGATGTAGTGTTAGGAATGGATTGGGGAGAGGCAGCAGGGGCCACACTCCAGTTGAGAGAGCATGAGTGTAGGCTCCCTAGTCCGTCAGGCGAGGCTAAGACTGCCCGCTTGTTCCATGTGTCTCTTGTAGACAATACCTTGGCACATTGCTGTCTCAGTGCTCCCGCGCTCGCGCTATTAGTCAAAAAGGAGCAGTTAGAGGAACAGGTCCTTGTAGTTTATGTTAGACCTGTCACTGAGGCCYAGGAAAAGGATAGTTCCACAGATCCAACAATTGCCAAGCTGCTGGAAGAATTCAAAGACTTGACTGAGTCGCCGAGAGGAGTAGTGTCGCGGCCCATCCGGCACAGGATAGAGATAGAGCCTGGCAGTAGAACTCCTAAGGGTGCAGTCTACAGGATGTCCCCTAGAGAGTTAGAGGAGCTTCACAAACAGTTAGACGAGCTCCTTGAGAAAGGTTGGATCAGGCCCAGTTCGTCTCCTTTTGGAGCACCCGTTTTGTTTGTCCCCAAGAAGGAAGGAGAGCTGAGAATGTCTATAGACTATAGGGGATTAAATGCGATCACCGTAAAGAATGCTGAGCCGCTGCCCAGGATAGACGATCTTTTAGATCGGGTGCAGGGTTGCAAGTATTTCTCTAAGATAGACTTAAAATCCGGGTGACCAGTACAAGACTGCGTTCCGGACAAGATACGGGCATTATGAGTTCATAGTGATGCCCTTTGGACTAACCAACGCGCCAGCTACTTTTCAGCGTTGTATGAATGACCTGTTTAGACCATGGTTAGATAAATTTGTAGTAGTCTACTTAGATGATATCCTAGTCTTTAGTAAGACCCTCCAGGAGCACCAGGGTCATCTGAGGCAGGTCTTGGAGAAACTTAGAGAGGCTAACTTCAAGATCAACG